AACTTTTTCATACTTTGGTGATCTTAGCTAATCCTAGAAATCTCTACCTCTTCGCGAAACCCTAACAAATCTAATTGTGCTAGTTTCGACTCCCACAACTATGGCAGAAATTATGATAATAAAATTGAGATATGTTTGTGTATAAAATTGAAATTATGATAATAATCAGTCTCAGAAATGTTAGCAAATTCAATTTTTCAGATACGATGCATCGAGTGCTTTTATCTCACTTTATTTGTCTTCTTATTCCACTTTTATGAACGTACGGTTCTGCTATATATACTCATCTGACTCCTCGTACTACTGGTGGCATGTAATACGCCTATTTAGACGCTGGGGTACTAATTCGGAATCAGCTTTGTTAAGCTTTTATCGTTATTCATAGTATGGACCACCTATTTTTACCTTAACACGCATAAAGTAAAAGTGTTTTTACCATTTGACTGAGATTCAAATATTGAGGAAGAGAGAAAGACTATTTTAGGCGCGATAACATAGATATTTTTACCTTGCTCGAGCTCTTTATAAGAGAACTCGAACCACATGTTTCATTCACAGGTAAGAGTATCCCATTATGGTCTTTTGCTTACCTGCTCTCATGTCTTTTTCTTCCATATAGCGAGATTCGCTACCAGAGGTGGAAGGGCCCGAGTTTTCTTCTTTTGTGGGCTCGAGCCATGCATTGTGGGGTCAATGTTGAAATCTATTTTGGAATCATCATTGAGCGATAAGTTGCATCTGAAATGTTAGAAATCCCACCATGCCACGTGATTAAGAGTGATTCGTCTAACTTCAAGAAATTTATTTTATCCCCAAGACTTTTCATACGTAATAATTACTAACCAATGAAATTATTATACCAAAAAATGTTACATGTTTAGCGCTGCAAGTGTATACAATGTTATCTAAAAAAAAGGTATATATACAATGTTGTCATTTAGAAGAAAAAACATCAAAAACTAAAATAAGAAACAATTGTTCTTTTTTTTTTTTTCTTTGTCATCAAAGAAACTTAATAGCTAGCTATAGGAAATGTTTTTCGTAAAACAAAACCTTTTATAAGATTGCGTTGTTAATATATTGTGTTTAGCTTACAATTTATTACGGAATTAAAAACATTTTCTGTGATCGGTGAAGCAGGCTAAAACAAACAAAATCTTCTGCGACATAGGGAATGTGCTATGATTAAATATAAATAGAATAATAGGAGAAATATTGTTCCCAACAAAGTATATTTTGTTATGTATATCAATTCTTCTATATATCAATTCAGGGTTTGCTATAGC